GGAGATGGTTGCTCAGCTGTTGAAGCGATCAGGAAAACGTACATGACGTCCGGAGCGTGTAGTTCGTTGTACAGGCTGTGGTGGTACGGTATGCGGAACCGCGGTTGGGGTTTCGTCGGCTGCGGGGTTGAAGGTCTTGGTGGTGGTCCCACGGCCTGTCTCGTTTAACATGTAGTCAGGTTTGACCCTATCGGTTGACACGGTGGCGTCCCTGTGGCGACTACAGAGCTTTAAACGCCCGGACCATCCCCGACCGCTATCCCGTCCGGCATATCCATGACTACTCCCACCGGCTTTTCGGTTGTTCCGTCTTCTCCAAGATCGACCTGGTGAGAGCCTACAACCAAATTCCCGTCCATCCCGGTGATATACAGAAGACGGCCATCACCACCCCATTCGGCCTATTCGAGTTCCCCTTCATGTCCTTCGGCCTGCGCAACGCCTAAGGTGAAGAAGAGGCCATAACCCAACAAAGGGCTGTAGAGTCACTGATGAATGAAATTAATGAAAAATGCAAAGTTATCCCTGGACTTAATCCGTTAAGCACCACTCCATGAAGACAAGTGGAGAAATGGAAATATGCAGCTCCACCATTCTTAATCTCTGCACTTGATGGAAGTGAGAGGTCACCTTCACTCCCCTGCCGTTTTACCCTAAGGGAAAATGTCCATTGGTACATAATACATAGGAGTTACGATGAGCTCCAGAGGTGGCCTAGACTTTACAGAGAAGAGATAAATCTCTCGCCTCTATCGAGAATCAAACCCCAACTCTTCGGTAGTCCCCCCGAAGCATAGTCGCTATACTTACTGAGCTATCCGGGCTCGTGTAGTCCGTTGAAAGTCAGCCAACATTTCGCATGAACAAGTATCCTCCATCTTCAGCGTTGAAACTAAGTAGGAAACCAGCGTGAACCATGCAGGAAGCTTACTGTTCAACCTTGAAGATGGAAACTATATGTTTCTCCGAAACGTCGATTTTCAACGTACTATAAGACGTTATATCCCGGAAGATAGAACACTTAATAAAAATGTTTATTTTAGTAAATAATTTTCAAGAAATAATCTCACTTTTAAAATTTTTGGTGAAAAATGACTAAGAAATGTACGTCTCAAGTTCTGTGCCATATTTTGTCATATTATTATAAAAGCTGATTAATAGCATGCACACAAAATTATTATCTTAATATTATTTTTAATAAGACGAATAAGCAGACTCCTATGTTCTAATATTAATCACAGGATCATTTAAATATGTTCACAGCTTTACTAGAACGTATAAAAAACGTAAAAATGCAACTTGTGTAAGTTAAGTCACTCTGATTTTCCATTGGATTCCAGCGGACATTTTGCAAGCAGTAATTAGATTCAGCAATCAGGAAGTCAGTATCCGGGCAAACATGCACGATAAAAAGAAATAAATGAATGAATGAAACGTGTTACAGGGTCACAATGCTTAAAAATGGCGCCTACACAATATTGCCCGTTCACCTTCCTGCTTACACCTACTGCGCATGCGTCAAGCCTGATTCATACTCTCCCGACACTGCAGGCGTAGCCTTTATTCACTGGATTGTTGATACTTGAGTGGTGGCATTGCGAGTTAACGGGGACTAGTTTGTTATTATTTGTTGCTTTCGTTACAAATTACAAGTGTCAGTGGTGGTAGTACTGTGCGTGATTTCGTTCAACCACGTGGTGATTCCATCTTCTTTTGTTTTTGTTTACAATTAAAGAAATCGAACCTGGGAACGTGTACTGCCAACTTTACAGCTGTAACTGCTCTTCTGTGCAACAATACACTTCTCCGAAATAAGTGAAAGATAAAAAGAGGTAAAGAAATGTCTCTCTCTGCTAATTATTCTAGTTTATTACTGAAAGGCATCGTGTTATGATAGATGACGCAGGAAATGAATGGCAGTGTTTGTTTTTACTGATATTTGAAACAGAAATGCATTAACCATCCAGATAATGAATATCGTTCAGTTTCTAAGAGGTCATAGTGTTTATATGCCTAAGGTCACTACCAAAGACAGGAGATTTGAGGTTCTCACAGCTCTGATTGCCGTGTTCTTTCTTTCAGACTACACGGCGTCCTGCCCCTAGAGAGCAGTAGTATTCAGTGTTTATACCGTTGTTTGGAATTTCGTGATCTAACAACGTATTGTTTTGAAAAGGAACAATTCCCTGTTTTATTGTGTAAGTTCGTGAAGATATCAATTGCACTAATACGTAACATTAAACTTTATGTTTTTTACCAACTTCCCTCGTTTTCAAAAAGTAAAATATTAGGCTTGTGTGAACACCATGCTGTCTGTATATCCGCGTATCACTTACCACCCACCACAAAATTTTTGATTGCAGGAACAGTTTTTATGAAACTTCGTGTGTAGATCATGGTACCTGAGTCCATCTCAACGGCGGGCTTCATAAATCCCTCCCATCAGTCTGTGTGTCTGTCTGTGCATCCCCCTATCGTTGCTAGACAATAACTCAGTAAAAACGTTACCGCGGCAATGAACATGCACGTAAGAACAAAAGAATTGTTGGACGTGTCGTTTTCTATACGGTACGTGTCGTGTCAAAGAAAGTAAGCGATCAGTTCTTCCCAGAACATCTTGTTTTTACTTGTCTCCTAATCTGGTTATGGTTTACGTACCCAGAAGTTAAATCTCTTCTGGCAGGTTCTAGCTATTTCGTTACACCGTGAGACCGTGATCTTTAACAAGGGATAGCCAAAAAAAAAATGCTTTCACAATCATTTGTTTAATTTGGTTATGATATGGTTCCTGTAAGGAGAGAGCTAGGAAGACTTTGACTTTTTTTTATTGCCAGTGGGGTGGGGCTAAGTCCCTTGCACTGCGGCCACTTCTGGCCTATTGTACTAGCCTCAGATGATAGATGAGGGTGATTGTGGATTAATTGGTGGAATGAAGATTGGCAGGGGAAACCGAAGTACTCGGAGAAAATCTGCCCCAGCGCCACTTTGTCCACCACAAATTCCGCTTGACCAGACCCGAGATCGAACCCGGTCCGCCGCGGTGGGAAGTCATCGACTAACCGCTTCAGCTATGGCACGGCCCGAGACTTAGACTTAAATGGGATGATAATATTAAAGTGAATTTTACAAAAATAGGGTGGGGGTTACGAACTGGATTCGTCTGCCGCAGGGAAAGGACCAATGGCGTACTCTTGTGAACACGGTACTGAAATTTCGGGTTCTGTAAAATGTTGTGAAATTCTTGAGTAGCTGAGCGTCTGGTGGCTTCTCATGAGGGACTCAGCTCCTGTATAAACCATAATGATTCGTTGGACAGAGCAGTGTTTAGATCTCCATGCAGTTTGTACGTAGCTACTCTTTCCTATCTCTCTTTCTTCCTTTCTTTCCTGGAACTCTTCACTGTTCCGCCCATTTATTTCTGTGTCCTTGGGAACGTTTGCAGAGACATCATTCCGAAATTTCAATTGTCTGCAGAACTATTTCGCATCCACGTATTATACTCGTGTGTTGTCATTTAAACGGCACTGACAGGTGAAGTTTTCTCGGCATAAAGCTAAAATTGTACCCGAAAAGGAGTTGGAGCGAATCTTTGTGTGCTACTCTGAGAGAGGATCATAGGTACAGGGATTGCGAGAACGTAATTAGTGAAAAATACATTATAGACTTCAAAAATTGTAATCCTCATCTAATATTGTTAGATGAATAATTGGTGAAACTAATATAACGAGAATAAATATAATTAGAATGACCAAGACGTAGTTTGGTGGATAGTATTAAAATGGGTCTTAGGGAGACAGGATGGGGGTGGTATGGACTGGATTGATCTGGCTTAAGATAGGGACCAGTGAAGAGCTTTTGTGAACACGGTGATGACTCTTCGGCTTCTATAAAATGTTGGGAAATACCTGAGTACTTGAGCGACAGGCAGCTTCTAAAGTAGAACTGAGCTTCATGGAGTTAGTCAGGATCTTCATGATTTGAACTCTTTACATCAAATTGTCATGCTAATCAAACAAATAAAAATTAGATGGCCGAATCAGGGACAAATTGTGAATACAGAGTGTACGAGTAATACATACTTTTGTTTTCAAAATCTCAAGAGATAAGACTCGATTGCAGATGAAGGGGTAGACGAGAGCAGAAGATTACCGTTAGTGGGTTAGGGTATAGCTGCAGAGGTCATACAGCTAATAAACGGTTTCTGTCTATGGCACTAAAGCTTTTTCTTGGACCTTGGCCGCTTTTCAATTTCTTAATCCTATACACAGTCTGTAAGACTCCTTGGACGTGGGATCAGCCCGTCGCAAGGCCTCAACCTATACACAGAACAACACAAACACAGAATAAACGCACATAGACATCCACGACTCGAGTGGGATTCGAACCCACGACCCTAGTGCTCGAGCGGGCGAAGACTGTTGATGCCTTAGACCGCGTGGCCACTGAGATCAGCTAATAAATAGCTATATAGAAAACAATTTGGAAATACGTAACGTTGGCCTATTTGAAGGTAGATCCTGTTATCCCAGAATTCTCCTTAACATGTTGAGGAGAGCTACAGGAAGAAGAAACGCAGAACGCGATGGATAAACAAATTTTTTTTCCTTCTCACTACAGCCCCAGTGGGCCTAGGCCTACCTCCATGAACTTCTCCGTTCACTTCGGTTATTCTAGATCTTACACATTCGGTACGACTCCTTGCGCGGGTGATCAGCTCGTCACAAGGCCTCTACCTGTACACAAACACAGAAAAACGCACACACACAAACTAAACATCCATGCCCTGGGTGGGATTCGAACCCACGATCCCGGTTTCCAAGCGAGCGAAGACAGTACATGCCTTAGACCGCTCGGCTACCGTGACCGGCCATAGGCCTATTTCTTTTCACAATAAGGTAATAGGCTAAAACCCGAATCTATTCATTTACTGTAAGGTCTGTAGCGAACTGTGGAGCGGAGTCGTGGCCTGTAAATAATGACATACATACGAAATTATTACGAATGTACTTTTGGACGGGATATGTAATGAAAACACATCATAAAGAGAGAGGAATAAGGTATTTAGAGACGCGGACGACGTGGGAAAGCAGTAAAGGATCGGTATATAGAACTTGAGGTTTACACAGCGGTGGTTATGAAGAGTTCTATCTTCTGGGATAGAACGCCGTGAAGTTTCGGACGAAAATATCACCTCCATTTCAGGGTCGAAGTATACGTTAAGAAAGAAACCAGCGTGAAGCAGGTAGCATGCAGAGATTTGGTTTCTTGCTTAACGTATTCTTCGACACTGAAGATTGAGGCGATATATTTGTCCGAAACGTCGGCTGTCTTTCAACAGACTCTCTTTTTCCTGTTGCTCCAACTTTGGAGCATATGGCATCAGTGAAACGATTTGTTTCACTTCAATTCCTTACTCCTTAGACAGTCGGTAGGGGTCCTTGTCCGGGGCAGGAAAGTGTTGTTCATAGAATTGTCGCGTGTTTGGAATCCAGAAGCCTTACTTCTGTGGGAACTGCCCACATTCAAGTAAATGTGACAACGCAAGTATCTTTGCTTAGCAACGGCGAGTAAACAGCTGTTGCTAGGCAAAGCGATTAAACGCATGTTGCTACGGAAAGCGAGTAAACAACTCTTGCTAGGCAGAGCGAGTACGTGGCTGTTGCTAGGCAAACACTACAACAATACGGACAGTGACATATTTTCTATAGGTCCGACTCTAGGTTATATAAGAAGACACACTGCGAGAGGACAGCAGCTTTTCAGCACGGCTACAGAAGCAATCTACAGTGTCAGAAGCAGCTACAAAAGAAGCAATACAGGAAAATCTCAGTCAGGCGTCTACAGATTTAAGAAGCACTATGTTGCGGTTATTAACGATTATAAAGAGCTTCAAACGTTGGAGATGGTTGACAGGGGCGCCGGGTAGTGAAATGAGTACAGATATTACACAAATGGGACTTCTGATTTGGCGAAAGAAGAAATGGGGAATAAACTGGCACATACTATGGAAATGCTCGAGGCCTTAAGATGTGATTTGAGAACAGCTACAACACAAAAAGAGGCATCGGATATGGAGAAAGAAGGAATCGGAAAAGAATTGGCACGTGCTTTGGAAAAGATTGAGTCCCTAAAAATTGAAATGCGAACAGCCACATCACAAAAGGAGATTTCAGATAAGGAGAAAGAAGAAATGGCGAAAGAGCTGGCACATGCTATGGAAATGGTTAAGGCCCTAAAACGTGATTTGATTACAGCCACATCNACTATGATGTTAACAATTTTTGTTATAAATTATACATAGATTTTATTAGACAACTAGCTGTGCCCGGCCACGCCTTGCTGTGGCTAAGTCTGCCCGTTCCTTCCCAGTTTCATTTGAAATTACTCGACGCAATGCTTCCGCTTCACGAGTACGACGACTTAAGCTTGTTCTTCTGCGAGGCATTATTTGGACGAAATATTTCAATTCAAACGCAGATCAGTCGACACAGCTCAATCCCACCGCAAATTACACTGAAAAAAAGGAGAACAGTTAAGAAAACGAAATGAAGAACAATGAAAAATAAACTATACTCACGAAATGAACGCTAT